CCCTTCCCACCCCCCCCCTCTCTCCCAGCAGAGCCGCAGGTTTGGCAGCTGCTCCAGACCAGTGTCTTCACCAACATCAGCTCTGCCGAGGTGTCTGGGGTGGCTTTCCTGGGGGACATACCCATCTTTGCGCTAGATCCCGCCAACTGGAGCATCCACATCCACTGGCCCTGGGCCGCCCAGGCCACAGACGAGGGTGATGCGGGAAAGGTGAAGTCCTACTCCAAACATTATCTGCGCAGTATGGTCCGATATGTTCACGACATGGTCCGGCAGGCGAAAATGAACTGTGAGTATGAAGGCAACCCCAGCCAGAGCCCCAGCCCCTTTTCCCGGGTTCCGGCTGCGCCCTCCTCCCCACCGGCGTGGCATTTGTGGGGTCCCATAGGGTGCAACAGCTCCCAAAAGGATAATGGGAAATTCTGCAGCTGATGGGACACATGGCTAGCAGGGGGGAGGAATGCGCACCAAAAACACCCCTCAGGGATTCTGCCGTCTGGCATGGGAGAACTCCGCACACCAGGGAGCTGCCAGTGAATTTTCCGGGTCTGCAGGAGCCGCACAGCACAGATCAGGGAAAGGTGGGGGCAAATAGCTGGGAAGGCAACATTCCGTTTGAGAAACTGCCCCATGCTAGCTGGCCCCGTATCCGCTCCAGCCTGCCAAGGCGACTGAGGGCTTGCAGGGTGTCCCGGGGCTTCCCAAAGCACGGCCCCATGCCCTGCCACCCATTGCACCTCACTGCCCATCGCAGCCCTGAACCTGTCTCCAGCCACATCCTGCCCTGTGCCACCCATGTGCCACACACTCATGGGACCTCTGCACCGGCTCTGCCCTTGGCAGACCCGTTGGTGGTCCAGATCCGTGCGGGCTGTGTGCTGTACCCCAATATGACAAGCTGGGGCTTCATGGATGTCGGGGAGGGCGGCAGAGACCTCACAGTTCTCAAGATAGACAGGCAGTGCTGGGAGCCCCAGCAGCTGCCACTGCTAGCAGAGATGGTCAGCAAGTCCCTCACCAGCAAGAAGAGCACCATGGGGTTACTGGACCACCTCCTCACCATCTCCTGCCAGAGCTACGTCCTTGCCCTATGCAGATACGGGAAGGCAACTCTGGAGAGACAAGGTGAGAGCACCCCAGCCCTGGCACAGCCACCCCAAAGCCCCCCACGCTGGGGCCAAGCGGTGCCCCACCAGCGCTCCCACCACCCCT